TGAAGAAAAAGACAACCCACTTTGTAGAAGGTGGAGATGCTGGTAACAGGGAAGACCAAATCAATAGGCTTATTAGAAGAATGAACTAAGGTATCTGCCCTGATTGTTTTTGTAATCTGGTCAGTTAATAAACAGTGACTGCTTTCAAATTGAAAAAAAGGAACGAAAAGAAAAGTCTACTCAGTGCTGTTGCTCAGTGGTTAGGGTGCCGGCCACGTACACCAGGGCTGGTGGGTTCAAACCTGGCCTGGGCCTGCTAAACTACAATAGCAACAACAACAACAACAGATTAGCCAGGTGTTGTGGCAGGTGCCCATAGTCTCAGCTGTTTGGGAAGCTGAGGCAATAGAATCGCTTAAGCCCAAGAGTTTGAGGTTGCTGTGGGCTATGATGCTATAGCACTCTACCCAGGGCGACATAGTGAGACTTTGTCTCAAAAAAAAAAAGGAAAGTAAAGAAAATTCAGAAAAGAAGAAAGGAGTACTAAAAATCTATTCAGGAAACCTATACTTCTGTTAGTGTTCTCTTTCTCCTAAATATATAGACAAAATAATCAGTTTATTAATAATGCATATTGAGAATACCTATGGACTAACATCTAGATGATTATTAAAATTTAGTAGCAGTATGTGACAAATTAATAGAATGTAGTTTTTATTTTTAGTTTTTTGGAGACAGTCTCACTTTGTTGCTCTTTGGTAGAGTGCTGTGGCATCATAGCTCAGAGCAACCTTAAACACTTGAGCTCAAACAATTCTCTTGCCTCAGCCTCCCAAGTAGCTGGGACTACAGGCACCTGCCACAATGCCTGGTTATTTTTTAGAGACGAGGTCTTGCTCTGGCTCAGGGTGGTCAGACCTGTGAGCTCAGGCAGTGCATCTGCCTCGGCCTCCCAGAGTGTTACCACTGCACCCAGCCTCATAATGGAATGTAATTGACAAGTATTTATTCAGAGGTAGTAGCCTGTTCTAAACATTTTCTCTTTTTTCTCCCTCAGATTATTGGTAAGGAAACTATAGATTTGTTGGCATTCAACTCTGTTGCAGAACTGGAACTGCTGGGTTTTGAGAAGCTCAAGTGTGAACTGATGGCCCGTGGACTGAAATGTGGGGGAACTCTACAGGAGCGAGCAGCAAGACTCTTCTCTATCAGAGGAGTGGCAAAGGAACAGATTGACCCAGCTTTGTTTGCCAAGCCTTTGAAAGGGAAGAAGAAATGAATTCCATCAGAGCTGATTTCTTATTTCTTTGTATACCAGCATTTATAATCTGAATAATGTAGGCCCTTAGCCTATATTCCTTTTGATTTTAAAAGCTAACTTTTTAATGATCTAATTCTAACTATTCTACTTTTCGTTTAATAAATCATTTAAATAATTAATGTGTCAAACCATCTGGGCCTGAAGTTTTCTTTCTGGCAGTATTCTTTATAATTTATTATATAAGACTATTCAGATTTTTATTTTCTTCTTGTATCATTTAGGTAAATTATATTTTTAAGAAATTTATTCATTTGACCCAAGTTACTTGGTTTATAGGCATGAAGTTATTCATAATAATCTCTTCTTATCTCTTAATGTCTATAGAAGCTATGTCAATAGCTTCCTTTTCATTCTGATACTAGTAATTTGTTATCTTTCCTAATCAGTGTGAGTTTATCAATTTTGTTCATTTGATTTGTAAAGAACCAGCATTTGGTTTTATTAATTATTCTCAGTTGTTTTTTGTGTGTGTGTTTGTTTTGAGGCA